AAATTTAAAAATTTTTACGAGCTAAAAATCAACGTTAGATTCTGATGAATATATGTTCAAAGTTTCCTTGAGCTGCGTTCATTAGTTTGGGAGATATTACTTGATAATTGAATTTGGAGATTGGTCGTGCGACTGGCCACGAGTCCGGCCGTGAATTTGCCCGAGACGTCCTAGGTTTCTAGTGCTGAAACAGTTAAAACAGCTTAAAAACATATTGGTTCACTAAATTGGGTCCTATTTGTGAAATACACATTTATGTTTAACATTTATCTATTAAAATTGCAGCGTAATAAATTTCAAGAAAGAGGCGTATGTTTTTAAATGTGTCTGTGGGGGGCGCTAGAAGTACAATAGGGAGCCAAAGGGGGGCGCCAGCCTGAAAAAGTTTGGGAACCACTGATTTAATCGGTGGTAATACTGTATTTTACCAAAATTCAGTTAATATTCATGTACCATTGCCGAAACCAGTCAAAACAAAGTTTTATATTAGGTTTACTTTCGGTATGTCATAGCCCTCGAAGGTGACTTCAGCGGTGGCCGTATGCAGCATGCCGATGGGCACGAATGAGCTCAGCCTCATGACCTCCAGCAACATGGCGTCCACGTACTGCAGTCTGTGGGCCCCAAACTGTAACTTTATCAATAACGTAATATCATGATTTCAACACGGTATGGGTTACTACTATGATATTGGGAAGTAATGTTTCACAGAGCTCACAGAACGATGAATTATTTTTTTATTTCAATCACAATATAATAATATTATATAACTGTACTGACTGATTTCTGTCGTTGAGTGATGGCAGACGATCATTAGGAACAACCTCGTCCAAACGTTTATGAACTTTTGCTTGGATCTGAGAAAAATATAAGAGCAATAATATACATGCATCTGAAATTTTATAAGCACTTAATAACTCGCCAATTTAGATTATTTCATTCCCCACGCGCCTCAGTTTCAGGGTGTCAAATAGGCGTTTATGCTAATTTATGATTTATGACATACAGAAAATCATACAACCGGATGTATCAAAAAGAATATTTTGATTTAAAAAATCATCCATATGTTGTCATTAGAGCTGAATTCACCAACAACGTATAGTGGGGAGGAGAGAACACCAAAGTTACGAAACCATGTGTCCCAATGGCATTGAGTAGAATTTTTACATATTAGAATACGTGACCAGTGGATCAGTCGGATTAGACAAAATGACATGTCCTTGCGTTGTTGTCTTACCAAAAATTCCGGATGTACAGGTTGTGAATCAAATTCTAGACGGTACTGAAAAGAAGTTGGGTACAGTATGGCCCGACTGTGGCATGGGTCAGTCGAAACCCAGTTGTCAGCCAGTTTGCGACCTGTTTAATGGCATAGTGAAGTGGCTATAGTTTGCCTCATGGTCTATGGTTTCGTTGACGAGCGCTGCTTTAAGAGTTGCAATTTTATAATTGAAGTTTATGAGAGCCTCTGAACACTTGTTCAATGCGGCTCCATGGCAGGACAGTCTAAGAAATTTGAAGGAATTTGCTTCTCAGCTACGGATTTGGTTGTTCTGAAGAGTTGTCCAATATTTCCCGACGGCCGAAAAGCTACAAAATTGGGCCGCTAAAGTGGATACAACACCAGGGTGGAGAGCCCCATGCCAGGGCAGAGTCCCACTCCAGGGCAGAAGCCCTGGGGACACTAACCATTCACCTGGGGGGCGCTAACCACTCACCTGGGGGCACTATCCACTCACCTGGTGGCACTAACCACAACCCTCACCCTGGGGGCACTAACCACACAGGGGGTTATCTTAAAATCTATGAAATGTAATGCAATGAGCCCCGCCAGAATTTGCTAACGTTTCCTTAGTTCAACACGGTCCTACGCAGTATACTGGGTGAAGCCAGTCACGACTAGGCGATGTCCGAAAAACTTGGGCTTGAGTCATGTCAGCATTTTGCAGTGGGATTCCGGGAGCATTGATAGGTGTTCAAGAGTTGATCTCGAGACAGTAGTACCTTCGCCGGCTCAACGCCTCGAAGCGGGGCAGCACTGCATAGCATAAATGAGAATTTTCAAAATTCGAGAAAGATGACGTAGCACCCGGCCACACCTCTCATCACTTGACAAGGGTTATTATACCGTTCCTAAACCGATGTGTGTGATTTTTTTGGTATTTAGCAAAGATTTATGTGCCACCTCTAGCATCACTAATGGATGATCTGAGGAATTGCCTCATAACAGCAGTGACAATCTGGTACTCAGGATATGCACGCTTTAACCCAGCAGTGAGGCAGTCATCTACAGTGATGAAACAGGTTCTCAACTACTGCGTTAAACTTTAATATCAGAAAGGCTTACCTCAGGGTTGATAGCCATGTAAAGTATCATCCAACGCAGAGTAGATGAGGTGGTCTCAGAGCCAGCAGCGAAACTGTCACTAATTATGGCCAATACGTCCACTTCTGCCCGTGGAACGATACAAGAATAATTTATCAGTTGGTCAACAATACAATTATTGCATCAATAAAACATCGCTGTACTTAATCTGATGCTGGAGAGCGCGAAGGAAGATTTTCGCTAGTTAAATTTCGAGACTTCTTCAATCCGCTCATATATATTCACGTAGCATTTAACATTTTGTGTAATAACGGACCTTTCAGTCATAGGCCTTTATGTACGAATAGCATTGACGATGCTAAATGTACTTGTACACAAAGGGTTCAAGTATCGTAGTCATATCAGCGCACTAGTTTCCTTACCTCGACAGAAACAGAACTAGATCGATGATTTTCACCTGTTATTTAGGTTAGTAAAACTATGAGTAATAATTTATTGACAAGTTTGTTCCTACAAATCACTCATAGTCCTGTTGCTAGGCCTTCAAGCGATGTATGGGATATAATCATCTCATTCAATTCCTAATGATTTTGTAAATTGTTATTATTATTAGTCTCAACTAGATAAATATAACACCCGTTACCGTCTTCAGGAGTGAGGTAGTCAGGGGCGTCTCTGTGGGCGCGCTCCAGCAGCAGCTGGTCGATGACGTCACGAGGGTTGTTGGGGTCAAGGGTCGCCATGTGATCGTCAATTACTTGCTGGGAGCGAGAGTTAAATTATTCATGACGAGCATATGTAAATTCATTTATATGAATGAGAGAAGTTCGTATTAATATGGTCACACCTTGCCATCGAGAGATATACGTATAATTGTAAAGAAAATTATCTCTTCAAGGTGCAGGTATGTCATAGTAACTTATATTTTAAATATTCATCAAACGGCAAAATTTTGGTTTTAATATTTTTTGTTACCGTCACTGACAGTAAAGATCATCAAGTATATGGGACATTATCGCGCTATTACCGTCGATGCATGATACCCGTCACATTCGTTACACTAAAATCTTGTAACGTTATACATAGGTAATTCGTTTGGCACTAACCGATGCATTCCCGAGGAGAGAAAATAAAAAAAAAAATACTGGAAATACCAAATAATATCTCATCGAAATTTTTGTTTCGTGATAAAAGTTATGCTCGATTCTTATGAGTTATGCGCTAGTGTTATGCGAGTTATGCGCCGAATACCAGTACATGGAACATATTTCACACTCTATAACTAGTAGTTCAGACTTCCAAGTAATATACTGGTAATATCTTTACCTGATTTTGTTTTTCCTAAATACCAGTTTAGTCCTCATGGGTCTGGTATCGTCGTTAACTAATTCTGTCAAGATCTTCAGGCACCTTGCGGAAATTCCACGATAACGTTTTATACGAACATTAATAACAATGAGTAATGAGTAGATGAAGACGTGACGAATGAGGAACACTCACCTTGAACATTGATTGGGCCTCATCTCGATTTCTGTAGAGGACATCAACTTTGAAAACTTTATTCATTATAAACGAGGGAAGCACTTTTGCCAGCCAAGGGAAAACGTCGATGATAAACAAGATTCCTTGTATGATGTTCATATCTTCGTCAATCAGAGCAATGTAACGATGCATCATCTTATCCTTGATGTCGTATCTCTTGCCTGGGACCGAGAGTATATTTACTTAGGGTGGCACAAGCCATTACCAATAGTTTAGAACTTTGACATAAGTTACTGCAAGACGTCGTCTTTATTATGTTGATAATTCGATAATTACCGAAGAGCAACAGTAAAAAGTTCATAAAAATGAGTTGAAGTAAAATACATTTGAATATACGGTAAAACCAACATGGCTTTGCTTCTAGGAAAATTGTTACTGGTTTTCATTTCAACCGTTCATGTAGGAAAAATGTATTCTCTAGCAATAGTCAAGTCAGTACTATAGGTATGAAAAAATTAACATCGGTAAATCCTGAACAAATAATTTTCTTTCTACATGTGTAGGGAAATTTTGAAAACAGTAATTAAGTAGTTGAAAAAACCTCTAATCTAATCGTTTCAAAACTAGATTTTACTCGCGAGCATTTGCCAGATGACGTTAAGCACAGCACAGTTGATGGAGTGATTCATGGCGGCAGGCTTGCCGACACAGTTTTTATCCAAGTGATCCACCAGCATCTCGGCCTCTTGTTGAATGGAGCCTTCGAGCGCTGTTTTGCCCATACCGAGATCACGCAAGTGGCGCAACAGGAATCGCCGGTTCTCGGTCCACACTGAACCATGGCTGTGTATTACACCTAAAAAAAAACGTGAATCGCCGGTTCCTGGCCCACACTGAACCATAGCTGTTGATTAAACCAGAAACAAAAACAGTGACCGGTAAGAGTTGAAACGCCATCAATAGTATACAAAATCAATGAATTGATTGACCTATAAATTCTTATTCACTGTATATATGAACTCAACAACTCGATTTATAAGCCTGATTAATTTCTAAATTAATAAGCAATAAGCCTAGTTTTTTGTATTTTTTCACTGGAAAGAAAGCTGGGCTTTTTGAGCCAAAAATTGGTCGAAAGAAAGTTATCATTGTTGTAAATAATTCGGTGGATTGTAGGCTTCATTGTATTCAGCATGATCATTAGTGTTCAGTAACTTTGAAACGATACGATAGGCTACTTTTTGTTTTCAACGATCGTTCAGGGTGCCATGTGCTCTATTTCAAGTACTGCTCACTTTAACTAAGTTATTCGCAGAATAATTCTGCCAATACAAAAGATCTGAAGGGCGGCAACATCTATCAAGAACGTATTGTCTATAAAATCGCCTAAACTCAATTTGATCTATAACGAACCCGAAAAGCTACTCTATTTTAGATACACAATAACTCACCAGCATTTTTGCAGTTATTTAATAATTCTAATGAAAAGAATCCCGGACGTCCCTGTATATCGGGATGGTTGAACGCTTTCTTGATGAGGTTGTAGTCGGTGACGACCACGATGCGATGCGAACCCCATTTCGTCCTAGCGAGCGACATTTAAAACCATCAGCTACAATATGGAGAAGTCACATCTTCATGGTTAGTTCCCGACATCGATGCCGCCTTTAACGATATTGCCGTTGAAATGGATAATAATCCACTGACATTGAAAACAATAAGTAAACTAATGAATTGAAGTTGAATCTGAAGTCGTGAAGATAATAATTGAAACTCTAAAGCTTTGCGTTCATCTTATCTACAATCGTGCATGCGTCATGCTGTTTGAGGATTAGGAGCACGTGGATGCAAGAAAAAAAATTAGAGGAATAGAGGGAAATTATAGTTATGTTGCTTTGAAGTTAAACATCTACCTATTTAAGCTTTTTCAAAATATTGGACTCACGTGAAAATGGGCCCTCGCTTCTGCTTGAGGTTTTTCAGATATTCGGTGATGGGAATTGAACGTGGCGGCAACTCTCCTAAAATCGGCCAGCAGAACGTTCCTGTTAGAGGATCCAGTGTAAATTACACCAATTGCTCTGCTTTTGTGAATAATTGAAAGGATCATCGAATACCAATACTAACATTGGATGATATGAACATAAAAAAATGAGGAGCCACTGCTTAAGTAAGTTCAGGCAGATAATACGTATTTATAGATTTCATCAATTCCTTTCAAACATGGTTCTTTATGATCATTTGGACACTAATCTCTTAGCTGGTACTGTCAGATTTACTATTGGATTACTACTGGTTTTATTGGCGTGAGGATATTTCACTTACCCGGTGGCATCCGCGCCGGCTTCCATGAAGATATTGTCAGCAGAGCCAGAAGGGCAAGAAAAAGTATGATTTCCAGGAACATGTTGCTGAGTGCGGACGTTCGTTACAGCTTTTATCTGCTGCTGCTACTACCAAAAGTATTACTCAATTCTATGGAAAAAAGCGATAACACAGCTAAGCTAGTAACACAAAATTATTTTAAGATCTCTGATATACTTACTTCGCAACAAATTTTTGCGTGCACAAGACACTAAGGAAAAGTTCAAAGATAAAAATTTGATCAGTCATCAGTCTTTCAATCTCAAAAAATGGCTAGAATGAATCGATCTGGTAAATTTTGAAGACGTATTCAATATCATGTAGATATGTCAGGTTATGTTAGGCATGGCTCATCGCTCGAAATGCAAACTCGCCATCAGGAAGCAGAAAAAAGTTCATCCTGAAAATATGTGAAATGTACTTTGGATCCATTTTGGAACTATACTCCGATTTCTAGCGCATTTTCTCATTTATGGAAAAAGTGTACTATTGTGCTCGCCATGTCCGTCCGTCCGTGACCTTAAGTTTTCGTCGACGAGAAAATGCGATCTGTCACTCACTGCTGTGAGTACTGAGTTATATTTTTTTGATGTGATATGTTAAGCCAGTACAACACAAAGCAAAAATGACATTAGCTTACTCTATTCAGAAACGGTGCTTATACACGAAGCGAGTAGTCGCGTCGATTATTCGAGTCGACTCAAAATATTTATGATGATTAACGTCTTCGGAGGTGAGTCAGGTGACTAGCTGGTGCATTGCAATGATTGCACCCAACACTTCAGCAGGTTGTTCTGACTTCTGAGCCAGTCGACAGAGTCGAAAGAGATAAGCCCAGTATAATAGGCAGTAGCCAGTATTGCCTTGGCCGCTGTAGTGTACATAATTGTGTCGCTCTCTCTTGCTTGCGCCTTTGCCGTTATTATGTGCACAGCTGTATCGCTCTCGCTTGCTTCCACCATGCACACACCTTACGCGACAACTCCAAGCGTTGCACTGGCGCACTGTAGTACCGAAAACACTCTCCTCGTGTATAGGCTCTCAGCCGGCAAAACTGGGAATACGAGTTGTCAACTCGACTACTCGCTCCATGCATAAGCACCGTAAATGGAAACAACGCTCGTGCTGGGGATCAGCAGAGCTTACATGCATATTCCAAGAGCAAAAATAATACTGATCGAGTGAGATCAGTCTGATGTTACTTCCTTTAGATATTTCAACGTTGACTCGAACCATTGACTCTGAATCTCTGATTGAAACTATAATTTTTCATTAGAAATATCTGGCAGCATCTTCATTCCCTCTCACACCTCTCTCACAGCACGCTGATGCAAGACTACGGTCTACGACTAGCCGGGTTGATGCGATGCCGATGCGCACTTGTGTTCAGTTGGTTAAAAAAGCCAAGGCCGAAGTCTACGAGGTGCCGCCAACCATACCTGCTACGCTTGCATCACACAATAAACAGACATTTTGTAACCATTGCGCCCTGACTATATTTATTTTTATTGGCCCAATACTATAATTGCGGTTAATTTAATGCAAGTAAATCATGGCCGATGCTCAGATGATAAATTCCATTGTTTGATTTCATTATCGACTGGCCGTGAAGCAGCTCGCCCAGCCATAATTTTTTTAAAACTGAACAAATTTTCTTAAAATTTGGAACATAAGAAGGTATTAACAATGCGCTTCGATATGAATTATTACAGGTTTTTTACAATGATTCGTTTTTTATTAATACGGAAAAACGCAATGTTTAAGCAGCTTGCCCAGCCGTAATTTTTTTAATACTGAACAAATTTGCTTAAAATTAGAAAGTTATTACCAATGCGCTGCGATAGGAATTATTACAGATTTTTACATTAATTCGTTTTTTATAAATGCGGAAAAACGTAATGCTTAAGCAGCTCGCCCACTCCTATTTTTTTAATACTTAACGAATTTGCTTGAAATTTCGAACATAAGAAGGTATTACCAATGCGCTGCGATAGGAATTATTGCATATTTTTACAATAATTATTTTCCAATTATAACGAATAAACGCTTTTTAAAGCAACCTAAACACTCTTAAGTCCTTAAATACTGAACGTATATGTTTGAATTTCGGAATATAAGGAGGTATTATCAATACACTGTGGTAGAAATTATTACAGATTTTCCAATAATTCCTTTCCATTTAAAACGAATAAACGCATTTTTAAGCAACCACCCCCCATTCATAGCTCCATCAATACCAAACGGATCTGCTTGCAATTTGGAACATAAGTATTTGCTGTAAATGTGCTCGTTCAGGAACAGTCAAAATTAAATAAATTTCCAATTAAGGTGAGAAAACTTGAACATGGACGCAATAATTTCGAAGAAGCGCATGGGGTTCACACATTGGGTAGGTTATAGACTGTTATGTATGTTTGCCTGGTCCCGAGTTGCGACAGTTCCTCAAAAGTAGTTCATTTTGTTAAATAGGCCTTTCATGACCGATACTTCCAAATTGCCCTGAGGCCGTGATCGATATTATTACTATATATATTATATATATCAAGTATACCCTGAGAGCTGTGACGGCTGTCAGTCATTCACATATCCTATACTAGTAAAAATCGTAATCCATCCAATGAAGGGCATGTAACATTTTAATGCTGCTTTGGCCTACCTTTGTTGGATTAATTACGACTTTTACTAGTATAGATATGAGATAGGTATTCAATTAAACGAAACTGCGTTTATTCATTTTAATCGAAAACGAATTAATGGAAAAATCTGTAATAATTTCTATCTGATTGTATTGACAATACCTACTTATGTTCCAAATTTCAAGCAAATTCGTTTTGTATTGAAAAAAATAATGACTGGTTGAGCTGCTTAAACATTGCGTTTCCCATAATAATAAAAAATCAATTAATGTAAAACTCGATAATAATTCCTACCGCAGCGCATTGGTAATACCTACTTTTGTTCCAAAATTTCAAGCAAATTCGTTTGGTAAAAAAAAATCATGACTGGGCGGGTTGCACCAACATTGCGTTTTTCCGCATTAATAAAAAACTGATTAATGGAAAAGTCTGTAACAATTCTTATCGCAGCGCATTGGTAATATCTACTTATGTTCCAGATTTGAATGAAAGTAATTTGAATGAGTATTGAAAGAGTTACGACGGGGCGAGCAAGCGTTAAGTTAGGTTTTGCGTTCGAGCGCGCAGGCGAGTTCGTAGAAGTGTCAATTCGGTTAACACTGGAGCCAAGCAAATATTAAATAATCATACTCGTCAAAAAAATATAAATATCAAACAATCAAATAAGAATTCGTTTTACAAACAAGAACTTCAGTATTCTATCCTATAAGTGTACTTGATATTCAATCGTATCCCACAGATGCTGATTACTTCTCGCTTCGAATCACCGACATGTGGAACAACCTCCCCGATGACATCGTTGGCGCTCCAAGTATGAACGCGTTCATGAACAGACTAGATAAAGCTATGGAAAAATATATGTTCAAATTTGAAATGCATAGGCACCATATCGAACCCGGTGGAAGTCTAGTCAAGGCACGAAAAGGAAAAGAATCGGCGACACGCCACATCAGGCCTACAGTTCAGCGCCGGGATCACTGTGTTATGCTATGTTATTACAATAACGCGGAGTTCAAAACTGATGTCTGGTTGCAGTCACGGGTACGCAGCCGAGAACTGGTACGCAGCCGTGCACCACTAAATTTGTGCAACAATCAGCCTTGAAAGGAACGCCTAGCATATTTCCGGATGACCACCAATCAGCCGCGGATTAAGCCATCCGTCGGTAACCAGCCCGTGACATCATCTTGCTTTAAATATTATAAAACTGATGTCTGTTTGCAGTCACGGGAACGCAGCCGAGAACCAAAAAAATTTGTGCCCCAATCAGCCCTGAAATGAACGCCTAGCATATTTCCGGATGACCGCCAATCAGCCGCGGATTAACCCTGCCTTCAGTAACCAGCCCATGGCATCATCTTTCTTTAAATATTAGGAGCTTTACGCCACCAAATTCTCAAGCGAATAGCCCAGAAAATAATGGTTGTCCACCACTGAACGTTGCATCGAATCATCCCTTCATACCCTGACTTTAGCTCGAATTGTAACTTGAGGACAACGGACTGCGACCAACCAGCCCAGCTCGTCAGTCAGTGGAACTGCATGCATCCTGCCCTGCACCACCAGACCGTCACTTTTAGCTCTCAACATCCGGGGTTAGGTTCCAGATAGCATAGTTCTGTTTCGAATTTTTTTTTATCGTCGTATGACGCGTGGCCGTTCAACCGTAGGCTGATTCAACACACGCGACAGATACGGATGGCTCTGGCGCGGTCCGTCCGGGTGGTGTAAAATTTTTTCACATATTTCGCTACGTCAGGCTACATACATTCTTGTGAGCTGATTGATCTAATTCAATGAATGTGATCTGTCTGGTGGCTTGCGGCTGATAATGTTACAGTCAAAAATTGTGAAGTCTACGTACTTGATCATGATAGTCTATTCCATGCACGGTAGTGGTGGTCTCCGACACTCGGCAGGCGTCCCTTTGCAGTGACATTTTACAAACTGCCAACGTCTACCAGACTACCACCAGTGGAAGAAGTCAAGAAGCTCGGCGTCCCGCAGTCACAACAGAATGATTTGAGGAGCTCCAATCGATATCTGTGCTAAAAACCCTGTCACTTACTTTGCCCTGGATAAAAGCAAAGAAAACAATGCATAACATCGTCAAACACTTCACTCACCACAGCCACCAAAAAGAAATAAATTTTCATGCTGCTGTCTCAACACGCTTAATCCATTTTTCGCGGTCTTTAACTAGTGAGATAGATTGATGTCTTCGGCATGGACGCAAACTTGAGAATAAATTGTTTATCCATCTCTTCGCCTGACCAGAAGGTTCGGTGAAGCTGCCCTCTTCCACTTTCAGCTATCCTTTTAGGTCCGTCACTTGGGTCACCACCAGAGCAAGTGTTATTATCAGTTTCAAACAACAAAGTCAAGGCTGTCCCAAATTTTTATTTTCGCGACTACTTTATAAGACTTCGGTGTGTTGATAGTCCGGTCATTCTGTGTATAGAAAAGGATGGACCTAGAAAAAATTGCAACAGAATTTCTTTTTGTGGGGATATTATCTACACATAGTGTAGTACTTCCACCAAAAAATGTAAAAAAATCCAAGTGGGGGAACATGTTTAAATCGGTCATTGA